GGGGAAGGAGGGGGGAGACAGGCAAAGCAGTTTGCACAATAAACTCAAAACAGACTTCATTTCATTCTAACTTATCACTTAAGGATCTCTCTATTTCCACCAGTATCCAGTTAGCCGTTATTTGCTGCCTAGGTGGGAAACAGAGATGGGGATGTGAGGCCGAGGAAACGGAAGGATCCAGACTTCTTGCTGCTTACATCATCATCCAGGGTCTCATCATCCAACTCCTCCAACTGGGCCTGGTTGTATCTGAACTGGATTCGATTTAACACCTCTGTGAGCAAGAGGACCAAGGCGTCTTCGTACCTACGTGGCAGGGAGAAATTTGACATAAAGTGAAAAGAGGCTTTTAGCCTAGGATTTTGAAAAGGGCTCCAGCTCTATAAAAGGAATGGTCTCTATGTGGGATTACCATGAAACACAAGAAACATCTAAATTCCTGATGCTTCATTTATGGGTCACAAGTGTAAGTGTGTGTAAGCGAAACTGTAGCAGGGGTGTAAGTGGAACTGTAGCAGATGTATTTATTTAACTATGTACCAGGCACCATTTATTTAACTATGTAGCTTCTTGATTGATTAACCCTTTATATAATGTCCTTTGTCTCTGGCAGAAAGTTTTGTCTTAAAGTATAGTTTGTCTGATATTAGTATAGCTATCCCAGCTTTCTTTTGGTTATTGTTTGCCGAGAGTATCCTTTTCCATCCTTTCATTTTAAATCTACCAGGGGTGCCAAAAATATATATACACATTTTAAAGGATACTATCTATGTATTACTTTTTGAAGTTGAATGAATTATGGTAGCAATGTGCAACTGCAGAAGTCAAACATGACTTGTATTCATCTTTTGTCATTGGTATATATTGAGTATTACAATTTTAATATAGTTTTTTCCTTTCTTAAAATTTTTTTTAATACTCTCTGTATTTGTGTCTGAATCTAAACAGAGTCTCCTGTAGACAACATGCAGTTGGATCATGGTTTTTTCAATCCATTCTCTGCCTTTTAAGAGGAGAATTTAATCTATTACATTTAATGCAATTACTGATAAGGAAGGACGTATTTTTGCCATTTTGCTATTTATTTTCTGTCTGACATTCCTCAGTTCCTAAGTTACTGCCTTCTTTTGGATTAAATAGGTATTTTCTAATATTACATTTTACATCTCTTGCCATTTCTTTTACTCTATATTGTTAAGTTGCTACCTTAGCAATTCCCTGGGACCATAGACACTATATATAAATATCATTTAACTTAATGATTCAATGCTTTTAACAGTTGTTGAGAGGTAGGTGTTATCAATATTTTTTCTGATGAGGAAACAACAGTTAACAGAAGTTAAATAAATAAATTACCTAAGGTCACAGAGCTAGCTACTTTGAACCCAAATCACCAATGGGTTTTAAGCCTACTCCACCCAAATTCCCAAACCTAATCTTTAATCAATTTTTAAAAGATTTAGGAACTAAAAGAAGAAATGGAAAAGGCCTAGGGAAACCCTGACCATTTGATCTCTGTCCAAGAATAATTTTTCAAAGAGATATTTGAAGTCCCAAGTTTGTATATTTCCCACATGTGGTAAGAAGCTAACTCAGAAAACACCAAGTTATATGCAACAGTTACTACAACAATGACCAAATTTTCATCTGGTTTGAGTAGGTATTAAAGAAAAGAAAAAAAATTCATTTTCAAGAACAAATTATGTTGCCTAAATGCTTGCCTGTGCCAAAATGCTTCTAAGACAAGTTAAAGGACTGTTCTTTCTCTTAAAGCAAACCACCAGGAGGTTACTAAGCTCTCAGCGCCAATCTACTTGCCATAAGTTGGGATGCTGGGGCTGAGACTATACAAAGCACATTTCTCCTCGGCCTGTTAGGTTCTGCCAACAGTCACTGGAGGAAGATTGGAAGGCAGAAAGAGGGACAAAAAGACTTCATTCTTCCTGTGGGCTTGCTGTCCTGGCAGTGTTGCCCCACCAAGAGTCACCTGGCAACAGCAACTGGTCCTAGTTCCCAGTTACATTTGACACTCCCAGAACCAATATCACGTGTGCAGAGGTACCAGCAGCAACAAGGCAACATATTCTCCTCAAAGGAATGGATCCCAGCTCAAAAGGGCCTCTCCTCTGAGCACTTAACGAAAGTTGGATGGACTGCCTCTTCAGAGCCCTGATCCCTGGCCCATCCCTCTGAACTTCTAGAGTCCAATCTTTTTCCTTAATACTTCTAGCCTTAGGAGTGGAACTGCTTCCTGTTGTTATCATGTGTATATGTTCCCTTTTTGCTTTTCCAGTCCTCTAAAACCTATTTAATCAATTTCCTACATTGAATTCTATTAGTTAATTGTGGTTTCTGTTTTTCTGACAGTACCTTAACAGTACATCACCCACTCTAATGTAGGTAAGTACCGGGACAAAAGGTAACCACAAGCTCAAATACAGTCCTATCTGGTCTAAGGAGGTACAACCTACATGATGAGACTGTACAGAGAGTCTATAGACCACTTACAAATTGTCCTGGACTGTCCCAGTTCAGAGTTTAGTGGCTACAATAGCTCATTTGTTAACTCAAAATACATATACCTCTCACCTATACCACCTCCAGTAATGACTCCCCCACTGTTTGCAAATGGCCTAAAAATCTAACAGACACCAGTCCTAAAGTAGATTGGCAACTAAACCAAACCCAGAAAGGAATGCTAGTAGGAAAATTACTAAGAAAATTGGCAACATCTGTGAGAAGTAAAAAAACTCAACCAAAAGTCAAAATCCCACTTCAGTAGACTTCTCAGAAAGGTAAGGCCAAACACTTGGGCCTAGAACTTATGTCTGTGCCATTTGCTCAGGACAGAAATTCCTGAAGTTACAGAAGTTTCATACTCTAAATTGCCATGACAGACCAGAACATTTTCACAATTTTGCTAGAAAACAAAATCCACTTCAGACCCAAGAACAGGTGAATTCTGCCATCTAAAAACTGTCTTGCTGAATTACAAGGAAATTTAGAGAAACTGTAGGTAAAAGATAACTCTTAATTAGACCTAAAATCCTAACTGCCAGTTGGCAACCCTGGCTTCAAAAAAAAAAACCTTATCACTTAGAAAATCAAGCCCAACCAGGAACCAGGTTAAGTGCACATAGATAATTGATCTCCCAAAGTGCTTGCTGGGAGTTAAGGGAAGACTATGGATATGGCTGTCCAATACCCACTCTCTCCTTCTTCCTTAGTAAGAGAACACGGGGCCACATGAAAGACTTCCCAACCTCCCTTGCAGATACAGAAGGCCAATGGGATAACTAAAAGTCACTGGGTGGGATTTCCGATAAAGTTTCTTTTAGCCAACCTATCCCAATACTCATTCTTGCTGCCTAAATCATGGGTGTGATGGCTGTAGCATCATCCTGCATACAACTTTGACCATAAGGTGACGGAGGAAAGGGAAGCCATGCCTAGCACTGGTGGAAAAAACAGGTAAAAGGATCGAAAAACGACTTGCTATACAAAGAACAGACACGATTTCTCAAAGTAAAGAAAATCAACAGATGCCAACCTCAAAAGGACACAGATGTTAGAATTACCAATGACTTGAAAGCCACTGTATCATTCATTCATGAGGTTCTTCAGATGTGTGAACTGAACTGTGTAACTCCTCCCCCAAACTCCCAAGTCATATGTTGAAGCCCTAACCCTCAATGTGACTGTATTTGGAGAAAGGGCCTATAAACAGGTAATAAGAGGTTAAATGAGGTCACATGGTAGGACTTTAATCCAATAGGACTAGTGTCCTTATAAAAAAAACAAAGAGACATGAGGGAGTTCTCTTCTGTTAAACAACATTTCTGTTGTTTAAGTCACCTAGCCTGTGGTGTTTTGTCATGGCAGCCTGAGGTAACAGGGAAAGTAAAGGATATGAGAAAGAACCTGGAACTTTAAGAATGAAAAAAAAGCAAGAGAACTGCAAATGTCTGGGTGAATATAACACGTTATTTCTCTCCCTCAAGAGCTTGAAAACACTAATGATGGGTAAGTACATAAATTAGAACACTGGTGGGGTTTTCAACATATGTAGATGTGAAATATATGGTAACCTCAAAATAAAGAAGGGAGGGTAAAGGAATATACATGGTGGTAAGGTTTCCAATCACACTTGTGGTAAAGCGTTAATGTGAAAAGTGTATATATATTATAACATCCAGAGCAATAACTTAAAAAAATCCATATGAAGAGATACAGTCTAACATTCAGTAGATACACTGAAAAGGAAAGCTAAATGTGTGTGCAACTTGAAGAGTCTCAAAATAAATGAAGCAAAATAAGACAGACAAATTCACAATTATACTTGGAGAATTCACTTCTCTCTCAGTAACTGCTAAAACAAATAGAAAAAGAAGACAAGTACAATACAATCAACCAAGCTGATTTAAGCAACATTTATAGAACACCGCACTGAACAACAACAGAATACACATTTTTTTTCAAGTGCACAATAAACAACCTCCAAGAAGACTGGACCATAAAACAAACCTGAACAAATGTAAAAAAACAGAGATCACACAAACTATGCTTGCAGAACATAATAAAATTTAATTAGAAAACAACAAATAGATGTATGAAAAAATCCCTAACCATTTGGAAATTAAACCAAGAGAAAAACAAAACTTCAAGAGAAATTAGAAAATGTTTGAAATCAAAGAAAAATTAAAATATAATATATTGGCTGGGCTTGGTGGCTCATACCTGTAATCCCAGTGCTTTGGGGTCTAGGTAGGAGAATGTCTTGGGGCCAGGAGTTCAAGGTAAGCCTAAGCAATAAGGTAAGACCCTGTCTCTACATGAAAAAAAAATTAATTGGGCATGGTGGGGTACACCTGTAGTCCCAACTACTAGGATGGCTGAGGCAGGAGGATCACTTGAGACCAGTAGTTCAAGGCTACAGTGAATTAGGACCATGGAACTGTACTCCAGCATGGGCAACACAGCAGAGATCCTGTCTCTTAGATTAAAAATTAAAATAAATTAAATTTTTAAAACTTAACATTAAAATTTGATGGATAAAGCTAAAGCAGTACTTTGAAGGAAATTTATAGCATTAAATGCTTATATACACAATGGACCTAAGCCTATAAGCCTCACAAGTTCTGAGAGTTAAATAAAATTATTCATGTTAAGGCAACTACATAGGAGGTGTTCAATAAATATATGAGGAATGAAGAACAAGGGAACAAAGAAATGAACAAAAAACACACAGGCAACAGACAAAACTCCAAACCAGATAACCACGAAGGACTGGAGCATAATCCTAGATA